TCCCCTATACTTACATGACACGGTATTCCGGGAGAAATGGATGTTACATCAGATACGGGAGTTTCGAAACTCGTAATTTGACTCGTGTTGATCGAAGAAATAATGGAAAACTACAGATTAGAGCAGCCTGCCGATAGAATTCTCCTCTAGACACGAATTGAATTCGACCTAGTTGACAAACGAGTATCGAAAATCCTGTCACCATCGGGACTCAAACCTGGGACTCTTCGTGTCAGAGGCACTGCAGTGACATCAGTTAATGATCGGAGCCACCTCTTTGCCACCACAATTCATTTCAGAGCCCTTTGCAAATATCAGACTGAAAATTTGTCTAATGTCTAATGCTTAACGTTTCTTTACTCACATTTTATTTTTGGTCCTTTAAATTTACTAATTTATTTTGACAGAGAAACTCTTTGCCTATCGACGTAAATATTATTTCACTAATCCGCTTTTTACTTTTTTACTGAACTGAAATTGTTTATTTTGTCCTAATTTGTCGTAATTTAATTCAGAAGTTGATTCGTAGCAGGAAATGCTCCGACTGCATCTTGTTCCTAATTAGTGTTCTGGAAAACGCGGTAGTTTACGTCCGAATCTTTCAAACTGGAAGGAGCACAGGCACGGCTGCTTTGCAACCTGCCCCATCTCTTGAACACGGCAGACCATTCGGGTTGGCCAAACGGTATCAGCTGAACTTACTTTATTCAAACGAATTCAGTTACTTAACGCGAACATGGTCAAGTTGATTTCGTTAGTTCACAAACGGAAGGATAGTAAAAAAAAACTTAAAATTCAATTCAGCAAAATTATGGGCAGAGTGCAAGAATCGAAAGAATGAGTTACGGTTGGTTCTGTTAAAAGTAGTCCTAAAATCACTCAACCAATAGGTGCGTGAACTCTTTACAAAAATAGTTCTCGGGAAGATGGTTTAACGTTCCTTTAAATTTCGCAAAAAAAAGTAGTAATGTCAAAGACTGAGCGCTGGTGCAATCCACTCATGTGAGACAGGTTTGGCACAACTGTTTACGGCACGTTCGTACGGCACGGACGTTGGTCAGATTGTATCTTCATACGAGCACGTATTCAGACTGCGTCATACATACCAAAACCGTAAGTGTTGAAGAGTCAATGATCCTATCTCACTCTTGACCACTTATCCACGCGTTCTGCTTGTTTAACCTTCGCTTTTGTATACCTCTCCACGTGTTTCAAAGGGTGTATTAAAATACCTATGTTGGTATGTTATGGAGTTTTCATTTAATTTGCAAACAAACAAAATTGAATCAAGCTACATGAAGCCAGGTTATTCTGATTCAAAAGAAATGTTTGAAGAGTTATCGAAATAACCCGTCGTAGTACTGATGGTTTCTTGTGTTTTTACTTTCTCGATACTGAGTAGAAAGTAACATAATGCTACGTGGAAAAACTCTAATAAACAGGGCCCTGGTAACGATAATGTTAATAAAACGAGTGGCAAAATGTAGAAAAAATTCTAACACTTGTAACTAGAATACGTTTTGTAGATCTGGTTGCCAAAAAATTGTAAGACGGCAAAATGGTCCGTCAGTCTGTCCGTCCGTGAACAACGCTAGCGGTTAAACCGTTCAGCAGATTTTCGCCAAAATTGATAATCCTCAATCGATATGGCTGATATTCCGGCCCCTTGAATTTGAAACCAAAATTTTAATTTTGGTAGGTACTTTACATAAAGCTTCTAGAACATTTTGTAAATTTTCAAAAATTGAACAATCGTTTTTGATTACAATTTTCGTTACAAAAACGTTTAAGAGAATGGTGCAGGTGTCATGCCCCAAACCCTAATTTTTCAAAAATTGCAAAAATTCAAAAAAAATGTTCATGGTGTTCTAAAACTAAAATATAAAGAGCATTTCCTCTTAATGAAATCTGTTCCTTAAAGATAGATTTGGAATATTCATGCATTTTTCGAAAATTTGAAAATTGTTTGCGTAATTTTTCATGAAAGTGAGGGCAAGAAAGTATGTGCTGTTTAGCACCTAGTCTCTTTTAAGACGTAGGCAACAAAAGAACGTAAGACTATACGCGGACTCAACATTCGCCTGACAGGCGCTTGGATGACTAGACTCTATTTTGAAACTGAACAGGAGTATCGATGCGTCCGTTCTATCGAATGTTAATACAGATGTATTTTGTCATCGTAGGATTTTACATGTAAATGATTTTCAAGAAAGTTTAAAGTAGTAAGGTGTTACACGATGCTTGTCCAGAATAACTGAAGTAAACGCTTTCGGAAAAGCAGTTTTAGCAGCAGACATTAAGCGTGGCAGAGCGGAGTCGGAAAACGATATTTTCAGTAAAGTTGCTAAGACTTCCTTGTACTTACCATTATAGTTATTTCTAGCAATACAATACATTGCAGTGCTGATTTTTAATGCAAGTATCATAGCATTAGTGTTGCAGAAATTTGTAAAACGTATAATCAGTGTAACAGTACGTCTAGTGACCTTTCAATCATTATTTATGTTTATGCAACTTAAGGCGTAAGTGTATCACCGAGACAGAGAAATATCGAAGAAATCCTAACCAAACTGTTTAATACAGTTAAGATATAGTTTTAATTATGGAAGTAAGTTAGTGTTTTTTTCTCTTCATAAGAGGTTTTCCTAAAGTTAGTGCTACCATATGTGAAGGTCGTAGAGAAAACTCTGCATCTTATCGTCCGTCAAAAGCCATTTTAGAGGTGGGTATGGAGAAAAAAGGAAGTAAATTTTAATTCCTTAATAAAGATTAATCGAAAATAGTTCAGCCTGAACGTTCTGTATGATCTCAAGGTTTTCTTCCTTCTTTCTCCTGCCAGTGACTCTACGACCTGAATATCATTTACTAAATAGACGAGCTTTTCTCCATTGAAAGTTGCTGGATGGACACCTCGCAGACTCCGAACAGTAAAAGGAAGCGATAACGCCAGCCAAGGTGCCCCACAGACCCGGATGCTTGAAGAGAAACCTTTTTCTGGAATCATATTCGGATCCATTACGACTTCCCGTAAGGGATGATAAGAAGTTTGTCCGAAGCCCTTCTGACAAATGTCGTGGAGAGATTTCCCCGAACCTCTCGGAAGTCTCCTCCCGGACCTTATTGGTTGCTTGCGGCTGTTCACCGCCCCCAAATGAATTTAATATCGTATGAATAATCGTAGTTTTTATACAACAATATTAAGAATAATTTTAAAAAATTGGTAAACAAAATCGAAAAACAAAACGTTAACTTAAATCAAATATAGGAAAATGAAACGCGTAAAATACGGTGTTTAGATACACCTATACTATCGAAAATCCCCCCNNNNGTTCAGTTCTGTTACCCGCTTATTCGCGCGTTAGAATTTTAACGGTTGCCAATGTTGCACTTACTACCATGACTTTGGTACTAAGGTACAGTGCATAGTTTTGGGAGAAGTGGCTCAGGGCATCAACTGATGTCGCTGCACTGCCTCTGACCGGGAGGTTAGTCCTGACGGTGGCAGAATTTTCGACACTAAGCTTTCTGGCTATTTTCTTCAGCAGCTGTCTGGAGAATTCTAGCGTCCGGCTGCTCTGATCGATAGTTTTCCTCGATTTCTCAGATCAACACCGCGATTTTTCCTTCCTCTTCCTTGTCCTATCTGAAGATACCTGGTTGAATAATATCCGCGCAAACCGACGGTAGGTTGGCGTCTGATCTCACCATCCAGCGTGCAAGATCACAGCCACCTCCAATAATAAAACATACACTATACTTACGTGACTAATGACATTAGCAATTGACGAGTCCGGAATCGCTAATAAATTAAATTGGTTTCGTGCGTGGTTCAGTTGTCTACGTCAGGGAAACGCAAGGAACACTGCTCCTTCTCACTAAGACTCGCGGTTTCTTCGCATTGTTTAAAATGTCAGCCAAGTTTATACCGTCCTCTGTTTGACCGAATCTGTGGACTTCATACTCCCGCTTCTTTACAGCTTCTGTCATTGGCTACAAGCGCACACCGGTGCGCCCCGCACGCGACGATGCTCAGAAACTTGCAACCAAAGAAATTGTCATTCATAGGTGCCCGAATGTCAACAAGGGCTTGCAACCAAAGAAATCTCCATCCATAGGTGTCCAAATAGCAGCATGGGTTTGCAAATTGCGTCTTCTGACTGGGGACGCCGTCCAGAGGGAAAGTATCCTTTGCAGCGTTATCTATGTATTTATATAGAGAACAATTTTCCTTTTTTTCACTTAGCGTTTTCATACGCATAATGTTAGTTTGTACTCAGGATTGTCCACAGTGGTGGACCAAACAATGTTACGAAATATTCGGCCGTGAGCAATAATTTTAAGAAACGACTCACAAAAATGTTTCATGTGCAGTTCGAAAAACTCATTTTACACAAATCTGATCGTGTAAATGACATTACTTTGCGCGCACAGCCTGATGGTTTGGAGGCGTGTCTGCGGAGTTACGGCATGTAATATTCAATAATAACGGTTCTTTCCGCGACGCCAAAAAGCAGACGCGGGAAGTCGCGTCCGGTAAGCAAATTAATGTTCGTCACGTCCCCGAAGCCTTCACCTTCAACCGCCGCAAATTACCATTGTTTTCATCTCGCACCCCGTTCAGAATGGATAAACTGTCGAAGCAATGTAATTTTTAAAATTTAGCACCATTTGGCTTCCATATAGCTGTGAAATAATACTACCACAGTGTTGCATTAAATCGCTTAAACCCGACGAATTTTTGAAAAAAAATTGGAAAGATAGTTGAACGACTCTGTAAGCATATTTAAATTATCTTAAATTTCGATAAACGTACGAAACGGCTAGGATTTTAATAATCAGAATTTTAAGTTTTTTAAATGTCATACAATATCTTCTTTGAAACCTTTATTCAATAAATCTTCGTATTAGTAAGTTACTTCATACAATTTTGGCTTTTGTGTATTTGACTAGTTTTGTCCTTGGCCTTGCGAGGTCCTGACTATGACTTCGTGTGTCCTCAGCGCCGTACGTGAAGCAGTGCCGTGAGGACGATCCGCACCTGACGCAGTGCTTCATCGCAGCTCTGCACCACGTACGCCCCTTCATTGCAAAAGGTGGGTCGTTTTACTGATTAGACTAAAAATTATCATTCGTATAAAATATACTATATTATATTTAATTGAACGTTTCATTGATCTCTCAAAGTATCTGAAAATTAAATTTGGAGAATACTAAGACCCAATTTTAATTATTTTTATCAGAGTGCTAAATTTCCTTATGTGAGATATATATAAATTCGCCTTGATATCCTACTGGTCATGTTATATAAAGTTACTAATAAACAACCTGGTGGGCTCAATTTGTAATTTTTTGTTCTAAATGTGCTAAATATTTAATTTTTAATCATACATAGGTGAATTTGTTCGGCTAGTAGTAAGAGGATAGTAGGAACATCCAGAAAAGTTTCCCGTGGTTGTCAACAAAACACATAAAATTTAAAGGAATTTTTTTTGTGACAGATGCCGCGCATGTTGCACTGCTTTTACACATAATCCCTACAAGAGTAGATATTTCTTCCAACAGTGGAATCAACACTTCGATCAGCATGAGGAGAAAGAGAACAAGTCAATAATGCATTTTTTTTCTCTTTGGAAAGTTGTTCATTAAGAAAAGGCAAATTGTGATAAAACCGTTTAGACTATAATTACTGAATTCACACAGAAAAGATAGACAGAACCTTTATGACGACCTTAGTGCATACAGTTTATTCTGAAAAGTTATTGTGTGTATTACCTGTATTTCCTTAGATTCGGAGCTCGATATACACATGTTCGTCAGTCGAGAGGATCATGATTACGAGGGGAAATACGAAAACGGTTGAATGATCTCTCGAACATTGGAACCCTTATGACGCCCCCTGATGGATAACGGGTTATAAGAGCGGTGGGTTTTTGTTAGTTTCTTCACGGCCGATGATGCTGTTGTACACGTACGCTTCCGAGTCGGAGTTATTTGCTGTCCGGGTGACCGGTCGCGTGGTTTGCCGAGAGGCCTGAAGTACGATGTTGCTGTTGTTGTGGGCGGCAGGCATCCCGGAGATCGAGCTGCCGCCCGTGGAGCCGTTCCGGCTGGAGGAGCTGTCGCTGGCGCTGTCGTCGGGGCCCGGCGGGTACCGCGTGACGCTGCGCGACCTCGACATCTTCGGCGCGTCCAACTTCACGGTGCAGCGGCTGGCGCTGGGCGGCGCGGGCAAGCCCTTCGAGGCGCGCATCCTCATCCCGCAGCTGGCCATCGACGCCAAGTACAGCAGCAGCGGCGTGCTCATCATCCTGCCCGCCAGCGGCAACGGCACCTTCCACGCCACCCTCGGTCAGCACCTCCCGCCTCCGGAGCACTCGCGCAACCCACTAATCAAAATGGACGCTCGTTCCATTACACTCATTATAATATTCCTTGTTTGTTGAAAAATACGTTAATTTTTTCAGTCATTTTTAGTTTTTTTTCTTTCGTTTAGTTCTTTTCAGTCATTACTTCTTTTTTTTTCACGGTAAACCATTTTACTAGACTCTTGCCTTGCTCAGATCGTACCTAACTCTTGGTATTGGTGTTATCTGGTCCCGTAGGTCATGCAATTTACAGCACTTCATTTTATAATTATTTAATTTACACTAATAAAAACGGACGCTTATTATATTCCTTGTTTATTGAAAAATACTTTAATTTTTCAGTCATTTTCTAAATCTACATATTTATTTTGTGGATTCAATTATTTACCCAATTAGAAGGCCTGTAAATACGAACTCCCATGTATATAGAGGAATATGTATCTTCTTTCATGGTAATCCATTATATCTTGACTCATTCAGGTCCTACCTAACTCTTGCTATTGCAACTCATGCAATTTTCAGCGCTCTATTTTATTCTTATTTAATATTGCAAAGATATAGGAAAAAAAAATTTAAGAATCAAACTTGAGCTTCAAATTATATACGGAACAATTACGAAGATAGTTTATTTATAAATGTACGGGGGAAAGAGTCTAATTGCTAAAACAACCAATGTTAGGTTTAAAACAAAGAAATTGACAAAATGTGTGTTTTGATGCACTTAATAATTACAATAGTCTTATTTTATTCTTCAGGCTTGGGAGTTTGTGTAGTAAGTTTCATACTAATGGCAAACACTGATGCCAGTAAAAAGCGACAACAATGCGCTACTAATAATGCGACTCCTCAGTATTAGGGATGTAGAGACCTAGTTGAAAAAAATCAGGATCGTTGGATCAAAAACTCGCGAAGTTGCACAAAATATCAGGATTTTTTTACGATAGTCGGATACAAAGTAATAATATTTGTGTGTGTGTGTGCGTTAGGTGACGTGAACGCGCTGCTGCGCGGACGGGCAGTGGTGGAAGAGCGCCAGGGCGACGACGGCGCCGCCGGCCGCTTTCTGCGCGTGCAGTCGCTGGCGCTGGACCTCGCCATCAAGACGGTGCGCATGCGCGTGCGCAAGGCCTTCAACAACAACCGCATCCTCAGTGAGTTCTCAGCGCCGCCAGCGTTTCATTCGTCTTTTCAAAGAGTACCAACCGAAGGTGACGTATTGGGGAGTACATTCTCCGCATTTGATTTACTTCCCTTTCGTCAAGGGACAGTAGAAACTGGGTGGCTTCAGGGAGAAAAATGCATTTTATGCATTTATACATTTAGTTTTCGTCACAGAACTGCAAAAGTGGCTAACGGGGGGTGGCGTATGAGGAGTCCATTCTGCAAATTTGATTATTTTCGTCAAAGAACGCTGGGAACTGGACGAGATATGGGGGAGTACATTCTGCGTGTTTGATTAATTTCTTCAAATAAAATTTGAAACGGTGAGGTGTGGGGTGAAAAAGTACAATCTGCGCGTTTGTACAATCTGCAGTATTGACGAAAATAAATCAAACTTGGTGAAATATGGGAAGGGGAGTAGATTCTGCGTACGTTTTTAATAACCCAAGAATCTCTTCCCCTAAAATATTTAAACCTTAGTTTTATCGTTGGGCTGAAAAGCCTTAATCTGCAGGCAGAGCAGTTTGAGGACACGTGGGCGTGTTTCAGCGGAAGCCACCAACCTGTTCCTGCGCGAGAACGGGCACGAGGTGGTGAAGGCCATGATGCCGCAGCTGCGCGGGAAGCTGGCAGACGTCTTCCAGCAAATCGCCAACGGGCTACTGGCGCACGTGCCCATCGACCTCATCCTGCTGCCCGCCGCCGACCCCGCGCCCGCCGCCTAGGGCACCAACCTGGACGGGGCACCAACCTGGACGGGGCACCAACCTGGACGGGGCACCAACCTGGACGGGGCACCAACCTGGACCTCGAACAAAAAAGCGTCACGTCATCTCGCATTCAGCTGCTGGTTCAACTGCACTTCGCTGCGCTGAGGTGTCGATCAGGTGTCTCGCTAGTTGGATGAAGAGTGTGAAAAGTTCTGAACATAACGTGCCATCGATGCAAACGCGTTGGTAAACTTGCTCTTCTCCTATCGGATGGGACATTTTAAACTTTTTTTACAGAGATAGGTGTATTTTATGAATTTTGTCTTTCGTTTAGTATGATTGTGTATAAATGTAGATTCCCATGTCAAAATATTGCCATGTCTGTCAGAGCTTAAGACAGTATAAGTAGGTTCACTATTGTAGATGGTTGTTAGAATGATTTTACTTGTGTAGATAACCAATTTTATTTTTTGTAAAGTTAGTCGATGTGAACTTGACATACCATTACAAAGGACAGTTTTCTAAAAACCTTCAATAAATATAAAAAATTCTTATCTACATTTCTAACATTTCTTGAAAGTAGGGCAAAACTCATGAGAAGAGAGATACGCACGTTCATTGAATTTTCAGTAATAGATGTTCCAACCGAACATGTTTATTTTGAAAATCAATCTCACTTACATTTTAAAATAAATATTAACGATTCACAACGAATTAAAATTATATTGAAAGTGAAATGTTTATATCTGAAAACCTACCGTGAATTTCTAATATTCGTCTCGACTGGTGGCCAAAGTTAGCCTCAGAGCAGCAATATTATATAAATGACGCGAGTTTTTATTTCTTTATTCTGAAACTCTTGTTCTAATGCAAGATCTTCACAAGCAGTGTGGGTCTGTCATTTTCGGACTTATAAGTTTTAATCTTGATTCAACGTATGCTTTTTTGTTTGAACCTGCAAATTAATTTTTAAATTAATATTCCCTGCTACTTAAAAAAACGTGTTTTTCTGAATCACGGGGTTTGGCAAGCCGCCATTTGCCTTGTAATCTTGTTATATAACAACCGATCACAATTCATCCCTAAATTCTTATAATAGTTCAAACGTCTTAACTTAGAAGGATTCTGCTTCGGTTCTTGAAACTACATGTTTGAGCGTTCTGCAGCAGGTGTTATGATCCTCACTACATGACCTTCAGACAAATGCTGACACCTTTTCGGGCCTTGCTATTCAACTTATCAACTCTTCCTTACAGTACAGAGAAAGTATTTCTTTCATTCCTGTTGGGCATAGTAATTGCAATAAAAACTTAAAATCCTTGGCGAAAATGGTTACAATCTGTGCTAGTTCCGCTTTGTCGTCCTTGAGATAATGCTTAAAAGGGAAGGCAATGCTATACCTATTATGAATTGTATTGTGGTTGCAATGGCGGTCGGGTACCTCAAAATGGCGAATGACCTCCATTGTCTTTCTAGTTAATGATCTCTATTAAAAGAAGAAACATAGTTACGTTCACGGACATTGCAAATAAGGAACTGTCAACACTGGCGTTTGGAACTGGTAGTGGTGAATCGCCTACGTGATTAACATCTTTATATCACATACACCAAACTAAGGGAATTCCTGATATTCTTGTTAAGCGGCCCGCGCATTACTGCTGCTCTTATCGGTTTCAGTATGAAAGTTGGCAAAATGACAAGACGAATATTAAGAAGAACTCGTTTAAGATTATCGCCTAATTTACTCTGGCATATCGAGTAAGATGACTCATTGTGTATTATTTTTAGCAAGTTGTCCTAGTCTTTGAAGAGGTGTATTGGTACTAGACTGGGAAGTAGGGCAACGCGGCAATGATAAAGCCGTGGTCCATTTGTTAGATTGTTCAATAAAGAGACAAAAGCCCCAAATTGTGATCTTTGATTCCATTGCACCTACTTTCATTACCATAAAATGAATCTTCCCAAGAGATGAGTTGGCCACAAAGCAATTTTAAGTTTTAAGGGAGCAGTAAGACTGTTGGCAGTATTTGCTACTAAATAGGAAACGATTGCGAGGAGACTTCGGAAGCTTAGTTTTCATGATCTGGCATAAATGCATACAACACACAGAAGCGAAAACTTATGCGAATTAATCAAGGAAAACAAGACTAAACACAAAAAACCTATCAAATTAATGTCCAAAAGTGAAAGATAAAAAAATAATCTATGTAAGGTTAGTTTAGTAAGCACCCCCCCCCGCGGTACACACGACTGTAACGCGTTATAAATATACTAAATTATTTTCTATACAGGCTCAGTTAAATTTCTTAACTCAAATGTCCCTTCGTCTGCAGTTTAGCATAATTTTGGCGATGGATAAAATGTTCCATCATAAGAGTGAAAACGTTTGCTTGAACTTGAGAAGTGTTCATAAAGAACGAAGATCAGAACTTTCAACGAGGGTTTGCCGAATCTACTTAGAACGTATATTTATTCAGTCACAAAAACGGTAAAAACTGTGTGACGTATGGGGGAGAAGAAATACTTATTTTGAAAAATTGCACATAAAATTTAAAAAGTCAAGATTGCTTTAATAAAAAGTCTAATTGATAATTTGGGAGAGGTTTGCAAAAACGTAAGCATTTTAATTTTCAAAAATTCAGAGATTTTGACATTAAAGAATCATACTTCTTAATTTGCACGTTATGTGCTCAAAGGATGTTTGTACGTTTTTTCTAAGTGTTGCTCCACTTTATAGTTATATTTTTGGACTACTTTTTCAGAATATTATCAAATACCCGATGTTTAGTTCGTTTCTTGATGATATTTTTGGACAACTCGCAATCCTTAAAACCGTTTAATCGGTTTTCGCTGGCTGCGTAATATTTTCTTAGTTGCTTTTTAACAACTGAGTCATGTGTTTTTTTTTGTTTTATTTCGGCGTAGCCGAAGGTCATTGTGGTGTTTGGTCGTATTGATCAGAGAATACTAGATCGTATTTGAAGTGCACACGTATTTTGCGCTTTACTGCTATGAGTAAGTAGTTTGTGTAGGTTCGAGATGGACCTTAATTATTTGCCAGTTTGGCGATTTGTTTAGTCGCGTTTGTGACTGTCATTGTAGTGTGTTTCGCTCTATGCCCTTAGTATGTCTGAAGGGCGAGCTTGTCGTCTATGTCCAATGGTAATGACATGACAATGAAAGTTATTTAGTCGTAGAAAGTTTCAATCAAGACGAAGCTTCGTCTGATTGAAAGGCTTGGTAAACTTCATTGAATGATTGCCGTCTCAAGCATCGAGTGAAGAACTCGATATCAAGTTCATTCCTCAGTATTTTCAGTTGTTTCCGAAACGGAGGGGGAGCTATGAGTCTCAGAACTCTATTCTGAATTAACTCCTTGTGCTTCTGGGTCATATGGCGACCACTGTGATAATTTTAACTGCAGGGTAACTGTTGGATGAACATGTATGAACAACACGAACACACAACGATCCATGCCCGAGGTAGGATTCGAACCCGAGACCCTTCTAACCGGAGTAGCTACGGCCCTTCCGCCTTAGCGACCTCGGCTTTCAATGCCGGCGGCTCTGTATCGTTAAAACCATAAGTGTGTGTTTGAATTCGTGAATAAAAGGAAAAAAATAAATGTTCAAAATTAACATTTTTAAAATGTTTAGATTTCATTTCATAATTGCAAGCATAAAAAACGTCTCTTATAAGTTTCATAAGTTGCTATTCGCAAACTTCTCGCTCAGGTAAAAATTAGTTTAGTTCTGAACTAATCGTGTTACTTTGTGCATTTGAGCCCGTGATGGGCTGCTAACCCCACTACGTTGCTGTTTTTGCGCGCAAATACTGAAGATACCATCTGTTTTTCGTATTGAAATAATTTTTCGTATTAAAATATTGAAATTAATAAATTCCCCTTTTACTGCCATTCCTCCTGAGGTCCATGGTCCTGCGTCCTTAGTAGGCATGGAATGCCATATCATGACAGTGAGGGGGGGGGGAGCAGGGAGCCTGGAGTTTCTGCCAGCACGTGGCTTCGACTTGAGGTTACAAACGGTAGTATCTCGCGAAACTGACGTCATTGCTAAGAATTCTTGAGAAACATTTTTGCAAACTGCGACCTGCGCGAGAGTGTACAAATGATCAGCGTTGCAGGATGTATGTTTGAGAAGTTAAGTCAGTGTTGTGAAAACTGGCAAAGAAATAAGACGACCTGTAGATGCCAGCATCGCGCTGCACAATTGGTGACAAATTTGACATCTTTTAATCAGTATGAAAGGTACTTAGACGACTAAATTTTATGGCATAGTCATAGTCGGTGGAATTTTTTTTCCTATTTCTTTTCTGTGGAAGAATGCACAATTGGACGTCTAGCAGCGACATATAGTGATAGTGGCTGCTTATGCATGATGCGATCACTTACGTGGTTGTGGTTAACACGAACTTAGCGTGACGCATATTACATTGTTGAATTGAAATTTCACTGACATAGCTGTTATCAAAAGTATCCGGACACGTGGCTTTAAATTACCAGTTCGTGGCGCCCTCCATCGGTAATGCTCTTAATTCAAGAGCGTGTTGTGAACGCAATATTAACCTTTGAAAATACAGCTGGTAAAAGATACATTGTTTCCATCTTGATCTCATGTTAAAGACAAATAATGCAATTGTTTGTCAGTACTGAAGGCATTTGGATGTTGCAAATTGTGTACATGGACGTTTGGCGCAATATTGATTTGTTTGATTCATGTTTCTGGGCTTGTCAAATGCTACGATAATTTGTTCCGTTTTGAATGTTACAATACCGAGAGATGGCGGTGTTCCTTCTAGCTGGATCGCGAGATGCACCGCCGACATTCACGCCAACGTGTAGGGCATTTCATTTTTCAGGTATCTCCCGCAGCAGTGCACCGCCTCAGCAGGCACAAGCTCTAAGCTCCGACTGGTCATCCGACATGTGTTGTAGAGTAGTGCATAGAAGTGTACGTGTGTATGAATGTGTGTGCGTGTGTGTGTGTGGGTGTGGGTGGTGTAAAGTGAGAAGAATATTACAAGGACGGGAGAACATATTGCGCGAGATTTGTGCTCAGTTTGTTAGGATACTGCTCCAACATTTGCCTGGTATTGATAAGAAAATCCACAGAAAACTCCCTATCAGAGCAGCTGATCGCTAGAAATCCTATTTGGACGGTGACTGTATTTGATTTAGCTATGTAATATCCTAAAAAGCTTGTTTATCGTTATCGTTTGGCGGTTGCGTGAAAGACTATTAGCGCAATGACTTAGCAAATGTGTAACGATTTTAAGACAGCCCTAAATCTCATCTGTAAAAACTTTGTTATTGATGTTTAAATTCATTAATTGATACATCTGAAAAGTAGTGAGTTTTCATATTCAATACTTCACAGAGGACACGATATTTCTAGTTTCGATAACACGTCGGGACTGGAATTCTGGAACTTTCTGTCAGAGACAGCAGCAGTATTGGCTTCAAAGCTAAACTCACCCTGCTCACTATTCATAATTGTCCGGAATGAAACGTCCCTATAAGCTTGGTCATATCTCAGAGATTTGATAAGCGCAAACCAATAGTTACTTCAAAGAGGTTTGCGGGAAACGAGTCATGTTTCATCTCCGTGTCTCTTTTTCCAAAAATCAGAATGATAAAATTCTGAAAATTTGAAACATGTTTCCAGATTTTCTTAACTTGTCAGCATATAATTTACTTTGTCGCGAGGTTAAAATAGTGCCAAGAGGATTACAAAATTAACCGGTAAAATGTAATGCACAATGTAGTGTACAGCCTTTCCAAGAGAGCGTCACGAAAAACGTCACTCTTCCCCCAAATCGAAGCCCAGTGCTGCCGCAAATATGAGCAACGTAGGAGCACTAACACAACTTTTGTGTTATCTAACGAGTTTCAATCGAATGTTCGAAAGAAGAATCGTCAATCGATATTTGAATTTCATTGCCGATGAGATGAAGAGTGCAATGAACCAGACATATCAGCATATCCAATGTGATGGTGGGACCCCAAAATTGATTTTGAAGCGGGGCCAACAACCTAAAAAATATTCTGAGGCAAAGACTTTTGACATAAATGAAATATACATCAGAAGCTCCTTATAGTTCAAATTAAATAAATTAAAGCATTTAAGATTAATATTTGAATATACTACACGTGATTAACATGTTTGCAAAAACAACTTTGACATTGTATGACACTATTTTCCTCGTGAGATGGAGGTGATCTTCCCTCACTCGAAGGCTAGATCCGGAGCCGACCTACCATCGGCTACGGGCGTTTTCCCCAACCAGGTATTTCCAACCAGCGGGGCAGCACCCCAACCGGGACTAGCTTTAATCTCCCGACCGGTCTCCTGACATGTGTGGTAGTGTAGTGCACGTTAGTGGTAGTGTGTGTGTAAGTGAGGGGTGAGGATAGGGCAAGGGAGAGAAAAGATCGCATGTCCGTGGCCGTTTGTTAGGGTACTACTCCGGCTTTCGCCGGGTGTTGATCGGAGAAACCTCACCGATCAGAGCAGACGGTCGCCAGAATGCTCCTCCACACAGCAGCTCCATTAGACTTACCTGACATGCTAGTGTCGAAAAAATCCTGCCACTTTGGAACTCTAACCTGGGTACTGCTGGTGAGAGCCACTGAAGTGACATTGGCTGATGCCCTGAGCCACCTCTCCCGGTCATTTCGACTATCATCGTATTTCGTAGATTTGAAACATTCCGAATCGCGCCGTTGGTGGGCGTGCGTACTGACGTCCGAAGCTCCTCGCCCTTGGCCGGGAGGAAGGGAAGAGGCAGCGTGGCGTACCTGCCCGGGGGCACGTGGCGAGGGGCGCCCGCGTCAGCGCCTTCGGAGATGAGGCCGTTTGCAGGCGGCGCCCGCCCCGACGCCTACGTCACACCCCGCCCCGCCACGCCTCGCCACGCCACGCCTCACGAGCACGCCCGGCAAC